TTTTTTTTTGGTAAATACGTCTTGCTGAATCAGCCAAAAATATTTGGAAAGAATACTTAATCTGAATGATGATTTTTTCTTTTCATTTCCTAATCCAAATGTGAGGTGCTCAAGCAAGAACTGATCACAAGAGCTATCTTTAGTGGTTCTGTTACATGCAGACTTCCTTTCAGTTTTGGCCAAAACTAATGTGCTTCGTACAAATGCAGTTGTTCAAGAAAAAATAGATGAAACAAAACAGACTTACAAGCAAGGTGTAAAAAGTGTGTAAAGAGAGTTTAAACAACATTGTAATGGTAACAGTCCTACACTTAGTAAACTCCACCTCCAAGTCCCCCCTTGAGAAGTTGATAATCCGAACATAGCCAAAATTTTGCGAAATGATATTCAAACCCGTTCAGCTAACTATACAGTTCCTGTTTAGACAATTTTTTAAAAAAGCAAAAAATGAACTTAATAATTCATCTTTCAAAGTAAAATTTTTTTTCATTTGAATTTTGGAAAACCTCGCCATTTAAATGCAGCCTTATGAAGACACCGGAACAACGCCAATGACTCTGTGTTATTAATATATTTTCTGAAAACAACAGTTCGATCTTTACATCTAGAGCCTTTAACCAGCAGAAGTTTTCAAAACTTTATAAAAAATAAATGTCTAGTTCATACATTCAAAACATTGATGTCGTTGAGTTCTCTAGAAACAAAAACTGTTAAAATTACAATGTAAAGCAGAAAAAAGAGACAGCGAGCCGAAGTGAAGTCCGTATACAAGTGTTAGCATTCCACAAATAAAATTAGTTCTCTAAGCTACAAAACAAGAAAAAGTATGTTAGGAGGACGTAGCCAGGACCAATTTGATATCTGCCTAAACACTTTAAAATAACAAGGCTGTTTTTTAGTTCTACAGCCCAATTAGAAACCCGATCCACGTGTCAAGAAAGACAGCGATAAGTAGCATTTTTTACTTGTCTTTCATAAAATTTTTTAGATTGGTCAAGACTGTTGGCTTTTATTTGTTCCCCGTAATTCCATCTTAAAC